TTCCTTCTCACTTTTTCCGGGCACATCATCCCATGGAGGGAGCTTCATAGCACCCCCTCCCCTCCAATACCCATCCGATTGACTATCACAGTTTGGGCCACAGTGGTCAGGGATAGCTGTAGCGTCTGAGTGAGGTGCCAAGAATCAGCCATGAGAAAGGCTTCATAGTGCCAGTTACGACAACCCCCCCCCCAAATGAACCCATCACCGCCATCGTCGTAGATTCCTCAATGATAAGCCTTGACTGGTATCACATGAAACGTTTCATCGCTTTCAGGGGTGCTAGAAAACTCCGCAACGAGGCACTTCTTCTCCTATCCTTCCTATCTTGCCAGACTTCCTCAAAAATTTGCCGCCAAGCGGAGGAGGGGGGGGGGGGATGGAGAGTATACAGCTTCGACTAACTACCAGAAATACACAGTAGTTTCGGCACATGCCAAGGGGGGGGGCGTATAGTGGGCATAGCGGAGTGCGAAAAAAACAAACAACTCCCAACGGCCAAATACGACCATCTTGGATATCCCCAACGTAAGGCATGCCTTGGCTACCCAGCCGGCGTTTGAATCAGCTTCTAGGAAAGGATTTCAGGTGCTTGAAAGCTCTCGGACCAATCAGCAGGAGGAAATGAAGTGCACAAAAAAAAATTGGCGCCAAAACTTTGGAGGGTGCCGAAGAACTCCTTGCATAAAAACAGAGTACCGGAGTGAAGCTGACGGGCGCAGCTCGGGACGTGGCGGGGAGGGGAGCGCACTAGTTCGGGGGGGGGCACTTTCGTACTATCACTGTTTCCTTAGTTCCGGTTTACAAGTCTCACTCTGGCGAAACCTGTGAACTCTTGTGAAGCTGGAGCAAGGTCGTCAAGCCATCATGTTAAAACCTGTCAACTCGAGAAGAGGCTGTCTAGATAGGTCGACACGGGAAGCAGCAAAATGCAAATGCCCCCCCCGGCGCCGAACAGCGCCCAGCTAATGTAAGGACATTTGTCGAAGCTCAAGGAGAGGAGGGAGTTCCGGTTAGCTGGACCGATTTCCTGTACGGTAGCGCTATTCGGATATTTCTACTCCAAGTTCCGCACAAGGAGTCCTTCAAATGCCCCCCCCCTCTTCAAAGGTTATCAGAGTCAAAAATGCGTTTCAAGCCGTTGCGCTATTTGAGCGTAACGACTGTTGAAGACGACTCGATCTTTTCTGCAGTGGCTTTTGGTTTAGAATTGGAAAGTATACATTATGGGAGCACTTTATGTAGCTGGGGGAGGGGGGATTTCGCAAAATACGATCCCCTCCCCTCAATTTGTACGACTGCCTTCCTTAGGCACTACACGTCCTACTAAGTTCTGCGGAGGGGGGGGTCGCGATTGCCGAAAATAGTGGTTGCATCCAGCTTTGGCTGCGCCGCGAACAAAACGCTCCTTCTAAGGAAATACGAGCAAACTCCCCCTCCCTCCAGCGACCATATAAGACCCCTCACAGGGAGTTCTTCAGCGTACGACGTGCCCTGACAGGGAACGCCATGAATACTTCTGACCAAGTGCCATTTTATTCCTAGTGAGTGGCATGAGCAATGCTGGGACTCAATCGGCTATCCACCGCTTCTAATTGTCCCGATGACATCCGAGGGACGTCTTCTGGCGGGGATGACGTCATTGTGGGCGTTCGCCATCGCCCGCGCGTAAAGGCTCCCAGCTGGCACATTGACGACGTCAGACCACAGGGGGAGAGCCCCGCCCTGTCCTTGCGCTCATCAGCCAGTCGGCTGGCGCATGTGCCACTCTCGTGTCTGCGCTCTCGTCGACCCCCTCTGCGTCGCTGACCGGCCCCTACTCGCTCCCGCTGCGCACGCGCTCTCTCTGCCTCCTCTCCACGAAGGCCAGTCAGCTTCATATATTCAATGACAGCTTGCTGAGGGACGCGCCTCAGTCTCTGTCCAGCAGCAGCGTCTGTCTCTCAGCAGCACTTGTCCAGGTGAGCAGCTGAGTGCGAGAGTGAGTGGGAGCTGCACCAGCTGGTCACCGGCTAGTTGCGAGCCCACCCGCTATCCCCTCGTTGTGACCTCGTCTCGCTCACGTTGACCCTGTCGGTGAGCTGCAACAGCTCGCCAATTCCACGTACAATCCTGCGTCGTACCGTGACCCCCCGTAACCCACCACCCACCTCTAACTACGCGTCGGCTATGAACTCATTGGAATTGGACGATGATGCATTCTATATTTGTACTGAAATGTCACCACGTTGTTTCGTCGTTCAGAAGGTGAGTTCCAATTGATTTCTCCATCTTGTTATTTGTGTATCTTATCGTAGTTACGGTGTTTTATCGTTTGTTTGCCGTTCAACCGGTTCATTGTAATCACCTACAACCTGTTCGTCTGGCTTCGTCCCAAATTCCTTGTCATCTGTACGCTCCACTTTTTTACTCGCCACATTACGGTAACTCTTAGTCGATGGATATCCTGGGGGGAGAGGGATGTGAACATCTCATTTACCATTGTTTTCGTCATTTTCATTATTTTTTCCATGTTTTCCACGCACGGCGTTGGGCTTCAATCGCGCTGAACTGCTCAATGGGGTCTTGTTTGGCCGCAGTTCGGCCACAGAGAAGACTAGGATCTCCTGTAGACTGTCTGTGAAACTATAGTTTCAGAGCCTTTGCTAACCAGATGTTCCCCCGTTGCGATGATCCAGAGGTATTCTCCCAGCGCGTCTCCTGGCTGAGCTTTTGAAGAGAGGAAAATAGAAGAAGGAAGGAAGGAGCTTTAAAAAGGCGAGGGGGAAGCCTTCACGGTTGATAGATATGCGCGGACCAAATATTACTAGTCTTATTTCCAAACACCTTTTTCACCCAGACGGATTGTTTGCCCACCCTTTCCTGTGGGCTCAGACGGTAGTACTCATTATCCTGCTCAAATGTTTCTATGCCCCTTCCTGTACTTAATGACGTTCAACAAAAAAAAGAGATGACGTCAAGTAACATCTTGTACATTTAGAAAATTTACAAGTATTACCAAGTTGAAATTACGTGGCATGTTTACTGGAACTAACAAAATGCCCCCCGCACTTGCTAGCCTGACTGAAAAATTGCTAGTTTATGAGCGCAGTCTTGTTTGTATGCAGTTCGCCTGCAGGGGGGAGGGGAAGGTGGGGTTGGGGGCACCTTGTAAACTCTAGTAAGAAAAATTACTCGCAGCAAAAAGTTTTTGGCTATATTGAACAATAGAGCTATTGAAAGTATTGGACTTGAAACTGAAGTGAAACTTCCGTAGAACTATCCCAAATTACGATTTTTTCCCCTCGAACCCTTTTTTTGCTCTATGGAATTGGTTTGCCCACCCTTTCCTCCAGGCTTAGGCGGTAATCCTCGTTCCTCCGGCTCGCAATTATTTCTACGCCCTTCTCTGCACTCAGTGACATCCAGTATAAAAAGAGATGACGTCTAAAAACATCTTGTACCATTCATAGCTTTACAAGTGTTTAAAGTCAAAATGACTGGCACGTTAACTGGAACTGACAAAATCCCACATTCTCCCCCCCCCCCCCTTATGAGGTTGGCTCGAAAATTCCTAGTTTTTTTATATCGAAAAGCAAAATCGTTTCCACCTTCTCAAATCCCATTTGATTAGATTTGATAGGCTATTGCTCAAATACTTATATTTGTTAGAACTATTAACTTAGGCTGGACCTTATGCCCCCTAACTGTAGTTATACTACAGTTAAATAATTCATATGATGTCAACACAATCAGGCGGCAGAAAGGGAAATGAGAGGAGAGAGGGAAAGTAAAGCGGAGTGCCAAACGTTTTTTAATGGATTTTCCATTTGAAATGTATACGGATTTCTGTCGATCGATATGGCTTTTCCTCCTGCTGGTTGCTGGTTTTGGCTGATCTTGCCTGCTGCTTGATGATACTCATTAACCAGGCACATGCCATTATAAAAAGCTGCTCATTTATCTATTCGATTGACGTTTACCACAGCTGTTTCGTGCCTTAGATAATCACTTTTTGGATGTTTGATTACATTATGTTCACGGCTGTTTTCCACTGGCACCTTGCCAACTATACAAATTGTTATATGACATGGTTATGATTGCTCTTTACTATAGTCGCATGCTATGTAAATGTATGTTGAAACAATATGAGATGCAGTTCGGCCTTAGGGGGGGGATCTTTTTCGAACTCCTGTAAGCCATAAAATGTTACGAGTTTTCATTTTCAAACCGCGTTCTGGTTTTCTCAAATCAATAATGTAAAATTTCACATTGTCTGCACCAGTAAGACACCCCGGGCAGGAAATTCGCAGGCACGGCTCGGCTCAGAGGTGGAGGGGGGGGGGCAGTTCTGTTCAGACTTTCCCTCGCTCATTCTCCCCCTCCCCCCATGCTTATGTTTAGGCGATAATGCTCATCTCCTGACTCCACTGTTTTTTCATACCGCCTTGAGCTAAATGTCGACCAACATTAAAAACGTTGCTAATAACCTTAGGGGGATTTAAAGGTGTTTTTTTGCGAAACAGAGACTATCCTGCTCCCAATAGAATACTGTACTTCATATCAACAAAAAATAAACAAATAAAATATTGATACCTCTCTCTCGCCCCTTTACGGCTAGGAGAAAGCGCTCATTCTCATTCGGGTAGTTTTGCGTAGGAAGACTTTTGAATGCCACCAAGGTAAGGGAACAAACAAAGAAGTCATGGGGTGGATACGAAGTATGTACCACTTCGTGGCTTCACAAAAGTTTGCAAGTCTTCATAATCGGCAAGTTGACAAGAATAAAGTGAATGTCCCCTTTGTTTCCACCCTCCCCTCCCCACCCCCCGAACTATGCCTATAATTTTTTCTCACCTGGGGTAACAGGGTGTAGATATGCGTGCAGACAACGTGAAGTTTCCCATAATTCATTTGAAAAACGTTTTCACCTTAAATTCATCTTACTCTAAGCTTCTCGGTAGAGTTGTTTTAAAATTGAAAAGAAATGGCTCGGACGGTTTTTTTTGCGCTTACTGAGCCCATTGCAGTATTCTTACATGCAAGCGATAGGGAATTCATCGAAATATACCCCCCTGCTCCCCAACTTTCACTAATTGCAAAATTGCAACGTCACTGGGTAAGGAGAAAATGGCGCAGTCACTCGAAAACGACAAGGGGATATCGACTCCTACCATCTTACGGCCCCCGCTTTCCAAATCCCCCATCGATGGTCTCCTGTGCCCTGTCCTCGATTAATGCTGAAGGAGTTCGGCGACGGAAGGGGGGGGGGGCATTTCGCTTTTTTGCTGCTTCCTGTAGACGTGTCGTCTCATATAGAGAGCCATTTCATGAGCTTACGAAAATTGAGAAATTTACCATGGTTGCTCGATGAACTTGCTCCAACTTAACAAGAGGTTCAGGCTTCAGTAAGACATGCAAACCGGAACTAGTGAAGCAGCAAAGCAGGATGCCCACCCTAACCCGTCATCGAAATGGGCCCTGCCGAAGTACTAATCTGAGCTACTGAGCTGAGCTGAGATATATGCTGAGCTAGTGAAGTGGATAATGATAGGTTCGATGCCATAGATGGCGGTGTGATGTTCTGTGGGAGTTTAGCATGAGAGCTTTACGCTTTTGGCTTTTTCATTCTTCTGCCCCATTGAGTGCTTCTGAATGCTGCTGAGTAACCGTAAAACATCATTCTTGCTATCCCATCATAGTAGCGTTAAGTTGTTTGGATTCACCTTCATTACCAAAGAAAGTTAAGCACGTTAGCGTCATTCATTTGCGTCAGAGAATGAAAATGCCATCGTTGAGGACTAATTTTATTCTGGTGGTATTAGAATGTTTCTCGCTTTTCGAATTATTGAAAACTGTCAAATTTTCTCCTCGTTCACTCAGTGCCCACGCACTTTTATGTCGTGACAGTTTCGTCCATATTCTGGCTCACCATCGTGATGAAAAACGGCGTGGAAAAGACCTACGTACAGTTTCGTTGCTTTTCAAAACTCAGGATTCCATAGTATCGCCCGGCAGCTGCGTTCATACGTTGTGTCGCCCACGGCAGCGTTCCGAGCTTACGCCGGCGCCAGCGACTTGTAAAGTATAGGTATCGATCTAGCGTATGCCATCTTATGTCAGCATACAGCAGCGCTTCCGTGGGTAGTTTTGCTAAAGCTCAAAGTGCCCGCGAAAACGTTGGCGTACACTGCTCTAGATCGATATCCATACTTTCCTAGTTGCTGGCATACGTTAACGCAAAGTATGAACGCGGCCTTCGGTGACAGGAATGACGTGATTTTTTCCACCCCACTCTGTTCCCTCCCTGGACCACCATGGTTTTCTGTCCCGGTCTATCGCGTTAGTGTAGGTATGCCTTTAGACCGTGTGAGATTTCGCAGAAATAATTTGAAAAAGCGAAGTTTCCCCGCTGCCTAGGATTACAAGGCTTTCAGTCTAAGCTTGCCAGTAGAGTTAAGGTCTGACTGCTCAACCGGGCACTTTCTGATTGACTACATTGCAATCTTCGATAAGTGCACTGTTGTAGCGATGGGGATTCTTCGAAATATACCCCAACATTCATTGAGCCGTGCGGGAGGGGGGGGGTAGGTTAACGGACCTCCATTTTTAGTCCTAGTTTTACCTGCTTAGGAGGAGAGGGAGGGGCAACAACTTAAGTACCACAAAGGCGTATTGACCTCCAACTATGGTACGACTCCTGCTTGACGATTTCCCAACGATGGTGTTCTCTGTGACCTCTCTTCGACTACTCGCCCACTTTCGAAGTAGATAATGACAGGCTCTGCCCCATAGCTGTAAGAGAGCGACATTTCACGGAGTTTTAGTGGGAAGGCTTATGCGTCTGGCCTTTTCTCCCCGCACGCTCCATTTAGTGCTGCTCAGAGCTTTTATTCTTCTACTTCCATATGCTATGAAAGTGTCTTCCACTTGTGAATGGTATCATTGACAGTAGAATTCATTAGCGTCTTTATTGCTCTCTCGTTTTGGTACTTGAGAGCGCAGTTCGGCTTGGAGGGGGCACTAGATGTTACTCAGCTAAGTTTGGACAGGGCACTTTGTGAAGACTTGCATACCACTCGAACAGTTTCGCAGCTTCACAGAAATTCACGATCTGACCAAAGTGAGACCTGCTACTTAACCGGAACCAACAAAAAGAACTAGTAACAGTGACAATTAGCCCTTCCAAGACGGCAACGCCCTGTTGAGTTGCTTGTGTTCAGCTTCATTATCAAGAACGATAAGCAGGTTAGCGTCATTCATTTGCG